GAATATGAATTCCTCTTTGATTTGGCCCAAAACTAAACAGAGCTGTAGAAGTTGCAGTTATCATGTTAGAATAAACAGTAGACACTGAGAGTGCATCGAGTGATAAAATGTATTAACTTACAAATTGACATCATTTATTTAGAGCAGCAGTGTTGCTTTTTGCTGTAATATGTTTTCATATTCTTCATATGTGGAAGCAGACGGCACATGATGAGTGAGTTAAATGATGCCAAACGCCCCTTTTGATATGAATACACACAGAGCCTGAGGCAGAAAACCTGGGATATCAAAGCAAGTTGACAGCCATTATCGTGGTGCCATTTATCTCTGATTGAGCCTTTAGGTATTGTCTTGGCGGGTAAAGGCAAAGAAAGCCTGTCCCTGTCAAACTTGCTTTGCAGTTCACCCGTCTGGAGGATGAATGATCTTGTAGTTGCATTAAGAGCTATCATTCACTGACTCATACCTCACCTGGACTTTACATTCTTACTGGATAAAGTGACAGAATGATGACAAGTTAATGTGATCCATGACAATAGTCTAGCAGTAATGCAATGTTCCATTTGTGTTGAGACTTAGTCAGTAAAAAGTTCATTCAGTTCAGTGGTGAGTTCTGAGCCTGTAGTTTAGTGTTGTATTAGACCTAATTTAATGTGTTCCAATTATTTTGTCCACCCCCTAAAGTTCTCCGGCATTATCACCAACGGGTAAGGCAGACCGACCTGTAGTTGTTGTTTCTTCTGTGGGCTGTGATTGGCTGTCTGAGTCTGTGTGTAAAGTGCTCTCTTCAGTGGGTGGGGCTTCGCCCGGCTGCACCTCCTCTGGGCTTTCTGCATTTGAATAAAAGAATACATGGGACATTATTGTAAGCATTATTACAGTTCAATTTTGTTTCTTGTTCACAGGGGAACAATAATAGTCACATGTGACCCACCACTCTTTGTGTCCGTGCTCTCCTCTGTGGGAGGGATGACTTTCTCCTCCGCTGTGCTGTTGGCCTTGCTGCTTTTCTCTGAGCTGGTGCTGTTCTTGGCTTTGGCTTTAGCTTTCGGCTTGGCAAACTTGGCCTTGTTGAGCAAGTAGTTCACCTCTCGATCCAGCAGGGCCAGCTTAGTCTCAATGTCTTTGGACAACAGGATGGGCCGCTCCTTTGGAGAGCGTTTCTCCTGCTCTGCTACCGTCTCATTCTTCCACGTCTGGAGTAAACAAAGTCAATTTTACAACTTAAGGTCAGTTTACTTTATACATGGAGAACTACTCAGGCTGTGGAAACAGTTATAAAATGTGTTCTGTGGCACTGGAAGGACCTTCTTAAGTCTGAGAAAATATATAATGTCATAGTGATGCAATCAGAGTTATCTTAGCTTGAAGACAATAAATCTATAACAGACATTAAGATCTGGGGGAATAGAGTTTGATAGTTGAAGACATTTGCCAGGCAAGAAAAGTCATTACGCATTACGCTTCCAGTCACTAGGCATGCGCGAGACAGTTGACCATCACAACAACAATGGCGGACTCCCGAGCTCTGCTTGCGCTGCTCACCCTATTGAATTTATCAACGCTTCCCCATCATAGTGTAGATTTACTGTAACAACTCCTCGGCGTCTGTCCAGACAAACGTTTGTGCGGTTGCCATTTTGTTTGTTTATACATCGCCGCTCTGTAGAAGGAAGCTTAAGTATCACACCGCCAACTACTGGCCTGGCATGTATACTGCAGCATTTTTGCAGATCCCTGTGCACGGCGATTGTTATCAAAACGTTGCTGTCTAAATGCGGAACTTTTTCAAAACGAAAATGAAAAACGATTCTGTTTTCAGTGGATCGTTTTCGTGTAAACATGGCCTGAGACGTACAAGCGTAGAGGCACCTCAGTGTAGGAATGTGCGTTCAGTTGCATGCCATACTTCTTGTCTTTCTATCAAGCTCGCTCTGGCCTGCACCCTCTTATAGCAGTGGTCAACATTTTGGCTGCAAAGGCCGCCTGCTCTAGACATCATGAAAAACACTGCTTGTATTATCAATTTATTTTTTGAAAGCCTAAATTTTATATTTGAGAAAACAGAATTGGAACAATAGTCTGGAAACAAAAATATTTTTCCATACTCTTTTCTTTTTTTATACTTATCCATACCTGGTAATTTCTAAAAAGAAATTCCATATTGCATAGGAATATGGTTTGCTGAGGAGCAACACTACTGTGACACCTCCTACCCCTTACTCCCCTTTCCTGAATTTCACCCAGCTGGTCACCCTATTCACCACCTACCATTGTTTCATTGATCACTTTCTCCAACATATTCAGCTCGACTTCAGTGAAAATTTGGTCATCCTCTGGAATCATTTTGGCACTCCTTTGAAAGCAAAAGAAAAATGAGTCAGTACAAAAGCAACACATCTTTACATCTCCAGCTTCTTCCCACCTTCCTTTCAACACTCACCTCAAAAAGAAGCTGGAGGTGTTGAGTATGCTGTCCAGGGCAGCCAGCCGGTCCGGCCACTTACGTCGCTCCTCCACCCTGAAAAACATGTCCTTGCACAGGCTCTTCAGCTGCGAAAGCTTCTCTCTCAGCTGCTTGGTAGTGGCCGTGTAGCCTTCCTCGTCCATCCACTCCGACGCCTCGCTCAGCTTGGCGGAGATCTGCTCCTTGTCCTCCTCTGAAACCACCAGCTGGTAATCCTCCTGGTACAGCTTGTCCTGGAGAAAGAACAAAAAGTACTGTGTGTTATTTCAGGAGTGGGCACAGATGATGTGGTGACATATGACGGTTATACTGCATCTTTTCTCTCTCGCAGCCTACTTCCTGATTTTATCATGACATTAAATCATTAAACAACTTAGAATTATGTTGGCTTGTATTCCCTCTAAGGTGCACTGGCAACTACACTTAATAAAAAGAAGCCAAAAAAAAAAATCAGAAAGCTTGTTTCTTCTTCTTCTTGTAGCTTACCTGTGTTTCAAAGATAAAAGCTTCCAGACTGTTGAGTGACTTTTCCCTTTCCTGTTTGGCCAGGTCCCTGTCTGTCAAATCCTGCAACCTGAAAAGACAAGATGACGTGTTTTAGCCAATAAACCTGAGAACCAAACAACACAAGAGCTTTAAAAAGGAATAAAAATTGCTGCTTTACTTCTTCTTAGAGGAAGTGAGATCATCTGCAGTGGGGTCGAGGATGTCGTTGATGACGAGTTCCACTGTGATGTCTTCAGAGATTTTGCTTTTTTTCTGAGGTTTTGCCTTCTTCTCCACATCCTTCTCTGCCTCAGTGCTTCCAGATTTCTCTCCATCCTTTTCCTCCTTTTACCAGCAGAAATTAGGTTAGTTTCAATACCAAGTCTGTAAAAAGCTCTTTTTTTATTAGATTTTTACCATTTCATAGACTAGTCTACATTAGCTTGAATTCATGTCAAAGACATTCAAGACATCTCAGAGACATTACATGTGACAGATCTTACCTTGGCATCAGTCTTGCTGCCTGCATCCTCCGTCTTCTCCTGACTTTTCTCTTCACCTGCACTTTTCTCTGAATCCTCCTGCTTGTCTTTGGCAGCCTCGTCCGTCTTGGCCTCGCCCTTGCCCTCCTCGTCCTTGCCATCCTTTCCAGACTCCGGAGGCACTTCCTCCTCGTCCTGAACACAAAAGATCAGGGAGCAATGTCAGCTACAGTCTTGGGCCAAGCATTGTCAGTTAGTAATGAAACTGTACCAGAAAAGCTATGGCAAGCAGGTCAGGCTGTTTATCCTAAGTGTGAAATCTAGAGTTCATGCGAGCCTTATTGCATTTGCTTAATAAAAATATTCCTGACCCTGACTAACTGACTGTGTCATGAGCTGCAAATACCTGGACAGGTTCAGTTATGTTTGGAGCAGGTTCTGACGATCCTCCTCCAAACAAAGTGGAAATTGTGTTACCCAGTTCTGAAAGAGAGCCAGTTGTTGGTTCAGTTAGTCAGTCATAATATGACTGCATGAATCAGTAAGAAGGCAATTCACATTACATGTTAAACATGCAATCCCATCAAAGTATTACTCCTGTATATTGTTCTACAGCTCCTACAAAGCAGCAATCAATGGAGAGGTATCAAGTAATGTGTGTGAGTGTGTTATTGTTTGGATGTTTACATGAGAGGCAGTAATAATGGGTCTGTGTTTCCTGATTCTGGAAAGGTTGGTGTGTGTGGAGTAAAAAGGAGGCTATGAGATATGTTGCACAGACAAAGATATCATAATACTAATGTCATGTAGTGACAGGAAGTATATGATGTAATAGCAATATCATTAAAATAATAATAATAATAATAATAATAATAATAATAATAATAATAATGAGGTAACAGAATAAAAAAGTAATATGATAATAATATAATAATCATCATAATATACACAATACCCCTTATGTTTTTTCCTTTTACACTTCCATTGCTAATTTACCTCAAGATGCCTTTTTTTCCCCTGGTAATCTGAGATGTTATTTCACTCAGTGTAGCCCTAGTACACTGTTGCACCAGAGGGGTTTTACATTGAGAATAAATGTCTCAAAAACACATCTAAGACCAAATCTCCACCAAAATAGTCTGGCTTTGCACTGCCTCATTTAAATGAAACTTCCACCTGTTTCTTCTCTCCTCCCACCTGTGCACCATGCACCAAGAACAAAATATCACATAAACAGGTAAAGAGCATACCAGGTTCGGGAAAATAACAGTAATAACAGTTGGAACACTGGGCGTTGCACCTACATGAAAATAGGGCCCGAATTACCACTCTTCTAACACTGATCATAGATTTTGGACGGCTGAAGTTACAGATACATGTTTGCAAAACCTACTTGTTAATGTTGATTCCTCTTCTTTCTCCTCCACAATAGTTTCAAACACAGACTCCACCTGTGGATTACAACAATAAAATATTAATTTTATTGATAAAAATGTTTCGATTCTGTGATTTCATATAAATGAATGAAACTAACAAACCCTGATGCTTCTTTTCTGCTGTGTATGTGCAAGTGTAAGATATCAGCTGTCAGTCAGCATGACTGTTTCATTGTTCAGCACAAATATCTTGTTTGTTTGTACGTCTGACATACCAGAAGGTAAAAACACTCAAATACTGTGTCCTTACAACAAACAAGAGCTAACAGTCATTAGTTTAATTGTGTGAAAGCTCAGCAGGAAAGCCAAATCAGTCAAAAATTGTAACTGACCCGATCCAGCAGGAGCACCCCACTTTCATCCATGTTAAAATGGGCTTTGATGCCTTTTGACTCAGCGTCTGCGTGCTTCTGAAAGCTGTTGCCTACTCCAGACAGTTTGACTGTGGTCAGGTTCAGAGAGCCAAACACACTGTGAAACACAACCAACGGAGAGAAAACAACATTCAAATCATGAGGGAAACAGTGATGGGTCAGAGCAACAATTTGGTAGGAATCATACATTTAAACTCCTTTACAAGCCATCAAAGTCAAGTCAAATACCATAATACAAGTTTTCTGTAACCCCTGGTTTCTCCTAGTTGTTTTTTTAAATCACTGTCAGTCCAGGAATGAAACTATCAATGCTTAAGTGGTGCATTTGTGTGCATAAAAATGTTTTCAAGAGCTCCAGGAAGCAAAGAAATGCTCAAGCACCCAGCTGACCAACCTGAGGTCTTCCTGACTCAGGAAGCTGAGGTCACCGTAGTTGATGTAGAAGGCAAAGTCATCGCTGTAGCGGTTGAATGTAATGACCTTGCGCTGAGGATAGGGCGCCATCCTCTGGAACAGGATACGCTTGTTGTGTTTCATGGATTTGACCCCGTCCTCCTCTGTCTCTCGGGTGAACTCCACCTGATGGAGTTAAAAAGCATTTAGTTTGTGTTAACATAGCTTGTATTCGGGATTTATTTTCTTATTCTGCAAATGTGAAGAATGCATGGCATCCTATTTATATTTTATTCCTGTTTAAAAATGCACACAACAGTGTACAAATAAATACTGCATGTCCATTTTGGACACATAGTTGAATGTTGTTAAAATTCAGCTTCCCAACCAATGATTAATATCATTAATCTATCAGCAAAGCCATTAGAAAATTCAACAAATGACTTTCAAAAGTGATGTTAATTAAATTTGTCTCCAGCAGCATGAGGCAGTGAACAACCTGCACTGACCTGAATAGGAAAGACAGCTGCGTCTCGGACTAGGAAAGGTTTGACCTTGAAGGCCTTGCTGAGGGCAGCAGCCTGGTACACTGCACCCATGGCTGCTGCCTCATCTGCGTTGATGTTCTTCCCCAGCTCCTCTCTGCGTTGAAAAAAACAAAACAAAACAAATCTTAATTACAGCTGCAGGTATTCTTAATTCCACCAAACCTGCTGAACTTAAACTCAATTTTCTCTAATTAAACCATCAACGAAACAGTGTGGAGTCAAAGTCCAAGTTGTGGAAGAATGTAGTTCCTTCTGTTCAGTTTTGAAAGTAAAAGTTATTCAAATGAGAGCAGTAGCTCTGTGGTTAACACTTACTTGCCCACAGCTTTGAGGAGCACTTCCTGAACCTTGGGGACACGGGTGGAGCCGCCTACTAAAATCACCTGCTCAATTTCATCCTGTTGGCAGAAATATAAGAACTCAGATTCACAGCAGTAATACAAACATCCTTTCATTTATAGTCACTGCTCAATATTTCAGAAATTAAATAGACTTTGCTCTACAGTAACATTTCATTAGTCCACACCTCAAGATGGCAAATGACCTGGCTGATGTGCATTGATTTTAGATGTTCTCCCCTTCTCCTCACGTTGAGGTTATTGATGGCCAGAATACTGAAGTAGTGGAGCCCTACAATCAACAGTCAAGAGTAATACTGACATGTTGTAGAAGAAAAGCCAGCAGCATCTCTTTTGTCTCAGGAAACTCTCTGAGCTTCATGTTGACAGGACCCTGATGATGATGTTTTATTGATTTTCTATTGAGTCTGTGCTCACCTTTGCTTTTATCTGCCAGCATCAATCTCTTAGGATCAAATATAAAAATGCACTCAATAAAGTGGTCAATGTCTGCAACAGAATAACAAGCACTGCACAGGAAACTCTACAACCAACAGTTATATAAGGAAGCAGAATCCATGCTGTATGATTGTTCCCATCCCTTACATCAATAGTTTCGGTTTCTGCTATCTGGAAGCCTCCTCAGGCTCCGCTAGCTAAAACCAATTAATCCTGTATAGCCTCTGCCATGTCCCTCCTACATTCTAGGAGGAAAGGCTAGTTATTTTTAAATGGTTTAAATTAATGTTTTTTTAAATTTCAATTGACTAATTAATTACTTTAACTAACTGACCATTTTAACTGTGTATTTATGTTGGTCTTTGTGCTGTGTTATGTGCTTTGTGTTTTATGTGTCCTGCAAATCCAACTGCTCCACTGAGAGCAAATAAAGTTAAACAGTTTTCCCAAATGAGCTTTGCTTTTGTGCCACTTATCATTTTGTTTTTCAATCCATCATTGCATACTTAATAATTATGGTATAATTATGGTATACTATATATACTCTATATTTTCAGTTACCTTATTTCAATTAAGCAAAAGGGAAACCAACAAATAGGAATACAACAACAAATAAGAATACACGCACAATAAGCCCAACCTCAGCAACAGAGAATCAGAGAGGTCACAACTCTAATTGATCCTATTTTCTGGCCTGTATCATTAAAGCCTTTAAGCATTATAGAGCCAGGACAAAAAATGCAGAATATCTGCCCCCTCCTCAGAATTGTGCAGAATGATTTATGTGCAGAGTTTGACATAAGAAGGATGTTTTTACATTCATCTGCTTACGGGGGAAAGTTCTCTGTGCTCACACTAAATCACAGTTTAACACACAGCCGCAAGTTGGAATTATTATAAGAATATTTAAGTACTCAAGTACTTTCAAAAAAAACAAACAAAAAAAACAAAAAAACAAAACTGGGTACAAAATGAACACACAAGCCAAATGTGAAAGGGATTAGGGTTAACCTTACTTTCTGCTCTGCACAGACTGTAAAGATCAGCTATGACGCCCAAGTTTAACATTACATAGCTTGCACTGCATATTCATTTTATGCATTTTGTCTAAGTATTTCCAAACATCACTATTATGTCTGGTTGTCATTCTGCCCGTAACGGTTGACAGAGTGATGCATAACTGAAAACACTGAACATCTGTCATTTTTGCTATATGGATCTGTGCAGATATTTATAGACTGCAGAGCGCATCACTGCATCCCATCAAAAAATGCACATACATTTACATTTGTTTTATTTACAAAAAAAAAGAAGGGATTATATGTTGAATGAGTACTGACTTCCACATTCAGTACTCGCATACTTATGCCCGTCCCCAGTTTGGAGGCCAATCGTGGTCCAATATGTATCTGACCCAATGTGTGGTGTGAAATCATGAAACTTCCAGTGAAAATAGACTGAGAATGGACTTTTCACTTTTCAAATGACGAAGACATCTTGTGTATAGCAGTTAAATTTCCTTTGTAATAGTTCAATTTGATGTGATATTGTTGCCCAAAAGTGTTGTAAGAAAAGTCAGGAGCGCCTTCAGTAAGTGGTGGGCTGCAAGACAGTATTATGTCATATGTATATATGGTACTCTATCTAGCTTTTCTGTATCCGCTAGGGTTGGGTACTGTTCATAACTGAACCGATATGGTACCGGTATCTGGAATTCGGTACCGGTACCAAACGGTACCTTATTTCGGTACTTTTTAACCCTATGGGCCCTAGGCCTTTTTTTGGGGTATTTTTACTGCCTTTACTTTTAAGCTCATATCACAGTCATTATAAAGGCTACATACACATGCTATATTTTGTTTCTTTCAGGACAATCTGTGCTAACCAGATTTGCCATCATTTCATGTCCTTCTATGTGCCTGTATTTTATATTAATTTTTATATCAATGAAAAAAAAACAAATCTGTGTGCCTAAATTCTTACATTATTACATGTATCTCACCATAGCAAGTTGGAAAAAGACATATTCTACCATATATGAAGAGGGGAGACTCTCTGGAATCTGGTAATGTAAGAACCATGATGCTGGGACATTCTGTCACTTCACAGTTGTCCAAAACATGTGGTTTGTGCCAGGCGGACATGATTGCCAGTATTTTTTCATTATTGCAAGAAATTCCATTGACTCATTCACAAGTCAAAAATGTGTTTTATCTGAAAGAAACATGCAATATTTACATCTAAGATAATAGAAGAATAGTCAACCAAGTGCAATGATGTCCTCCAAGATAATATTTGTTTTTCAGTTTCAGTTATATATTGGGGAGACATTTTGGGCATTGGTGGGGGGGGCACGTGTCCCCCTCAATGTATATGGTGACTACTTCCCTGTCAGCATGCATTAGGCTGCAGCTGTCTGGGTGCGCAAAGGTGAAGTGTCTGGTCTTGTCATACAAAGTTTGATGGAGTGTCAACTGGACAATATGGAGATATTTGCATCTTGAAAGCCGGACTACAAATGTGGATAGACAGGGAGAAACACACGCAAGCCTAAGATGTGGTAAGATAAGATATTCCTCACTGTATGAAGTGACTGATAACAAGATCTGTATAATGGATTGTAAAGAAATTCATCAAGTTTTTATTTTGTAGACAATTGATCTGTATTTAGAGCGTGATGGGATGACAGCACAATGATGTGTGTGGTCCTGCGCTTTCATGTGATGTGCGTGGCATTTCTGTGTGAGCCTGCGTTCGCGAGTAATCCATCCAAGAGTAATGTGTGTGCAAAGCTGTATGAAAGCTCTGTTATACATTATTTTATTGTAATTTTTCACAGTGAAAACATTGGATCACCGTTTTTTCCTTGTCGGAAAGCTACAATTCTGCTGTTTCACGTGATATGCGTGGCTTCTCGCTTGGACGCACGGTCGCGGAGAAAATCCACAGAGAAGAATGGGTGTGAATTTGGATGCACTATGCGTCCTTGGGGGCCCATAGTCTAAACTTCTCAGTTTCAACATTTTATTGAGAACATTTAGGAACAGTGCTGCACGTTAACTTTTGTCTGCACATTGTTTTTGTCGCCATTGTTGCTGAGTCTGAGGTGCGAGTCATGCGCTCTCGCTCCGCCTCCACCTCAGGTACCGAAATTTGGCACAGTTTCATTTTAAGTGAATCGGTACTCGGTAGTACCGACGTGAATCGGTACCAAGTACAAAAAGTACCGAGTTTCGGTACCCAACCCTAGTATCCGCAGTGCCCTACAGCCAAATCTCCCCACAGGGATCATCAAAGTGTCATCTCAATCTGTCATGTGGGACAACCAAGAGCCACGTAATGAGAATACTGACCAGCTTCATTTCTGCGGTGGAGAGGGCATCCTGCACGGGGCCGGGCACTCTTTCAAAGAGATCCGCGCACAGCTCCTCAAACTCAGCCCTGGTCACCTTAGCTTTGAAGTCAATGTCATCCATCAAACCTTCCACCTAAGAAAACACATATTCTGTCACTGCAATGGTCCTATAACCAAATGCTAAGATTATCTGGACAGAAGTCTGTATCACTGATTTCTTATAGACTGCAACATTTTCAGACCTTAAGACAGTGAATTTAAGATTCAGATTCAGACAACTTGACAGTACTGTATTTGAAGTCATTTTCCAGACAGATTATCACCTTAGTTTTAGTTCTGACATACAACACTGAGACACACAACAAGCAGGATGGACTGAGGGCTGCAGGTTTACGTCCCTGGACTCACCTGAGCCATGAAATCCATGTTTGCACTAAGCACTGTCTTGAGCCTCTGAGCCTCTTTGAGGAGCTTGGCCATGGCCCGGTGGTTCTCCCTCACATCTTTCTTGCTCTTCTTCTGCCCGTTGAACAGTTTGGCAAGGTGGTCCCGCAGTCGCAGGTCCATCTCAAAGCCCCCCAACCCTCGGTCAAACCTATAGCCAGAACAAGAGAAACACGCAGTAGTCTAAGGACTGAATTATCACCTTAAAAAATGTGGTTTGGGAGCTTTAAATCAGTTGAAAAATCGAAAAGCAAGAAGCATTTAAAATATTTTATACTGAACGAAACTTCAGGGCTCAACAGTAAGGATTGTTCAAGTGCACGGGGCAAGTAAAATGCCATGTTGGGCTACTTAATCTAGCAACTCACTTGCCCAAAAAATAATTAAACACACTGTTTTCTGGAGCTGATGATGGAATTAATGAAGGAGTGCAGAGTTGCACATGTGCCGTAGCACTGATTGGTCTTTCTTGTTATTTGATAACTGCAAATAAATAAAACTATTTGTATAGGGGCAATTAAAAATGACTGTGCAAGAAGAACCCTGACCCACTTAACTGATCTGGTGAGTGAAGAAAAAATAAAACATTAACACTGAAACCTGCCTAAAAGGAAAAATAAATTACCAACAAAACCTAGTTTGGATGATTACAACAAGATAATTATTCTTTTAGACTCAATCACCTTTACTCTAAGCCTGAGTGGGTGATCAAGTTTTGTGAATGTTGGATATGCACCTAAAATTCAACCACATGAGATGCAAGATTCTGCTTTTATCTTAGCATACTATGTACTAAACGAATCCTGAGAAGCACATCAGCAAAAATGCAGCAGTGTTTGGCTCCTGGGGTCTGCAGTGACACCTGATAACTCAGGTTTTACAGTATCACAAAGCCGGCTCACTTTTAACTTGGGCAGATCACCATGGTAACCTGTGCTGCACAGCTTCACATATTAGATTTCTTCCATCTTTCATCCCTGACAGGGTTACCAGCAGTGGAGATGTTCCTACACTCTTATTCAATCACTGCAGCTCAGGATGACATGAAGACAACTTGGTGAGAATTAACTCTTTAGACTCAATGAGATGACAACTGGAAAGAAACGTTGACCCACTATCTCCCCATGGGAAAATTAAATTATATAATGCAACATTTCAATCAGATAGACCTCATCAGGGGTTAACTTCCCCCCACTGACTAGCTGTATTTTAGTGCTCTGCTTTAGCAACAGAAAAACATTCACATTCTAGCTGTACAATTATATTGAACACATTCCACCTGACTGAGCATCCCACAGGTATCACTGTTTGATTTCATTTCATATCATATTAAGTACTTCTCTCTGATGACATCCTGTGTGATTGTAATTAACAACTCCTGTTTCACATGAGCATGTTCAGAACTGCATATAAATACAGAGTGTACAGAGCCAGTTGATAACCAGCTTTATGACTGATATCTGTTGAGTTAGGAGGTGAGGCTCAATGCAGCCAGACTAAGCTGAACTTGCCAGGCCCCCAAGTAACTGCTGTTTTAACAGCAAAACCAATGTGTTTCCCTTCCTCTTATCTTGAAACCACATTTAGGTTTTTTTAACCACTAAAAAAAATAGTGCATATTTATTTCTGTATTTGCCTGTCCACAAGTTCACAGCTGCTGCTGTGTACAAAAAAACTTAAGTGTTGATGCCGCCAGTGTTACACCTCGGAGGCAGCATTTATGCTTCTTTTAATGTCGGCCAACTACCTAAACCTCAGCTGGAGATGGATATCTTAGCATGTTGTGTATGTGGTCTGCTCTCTGTGTGCACCTTCCTGTTTTCTGAGTTTCAGACAGGATGAAGAGAAAAGAAAAATACAATCAACAGAAAGTCTTGTGAAATGTTTTGCATGTTTTGCTTCAAATCTTCAGAGAATATTTTAATATGTGCATGACTCAGACTAAAGTTGTAAGACTTAAGAATGTTCTTATATTTGAAAAGTGTGTGTCTCCAAAAGCCAGAATGAATCTGGTTACAATTTCACATTGACAATTGAGCATCGCTTTGCATTACAGATGCACATAACACCCTGTAGTGATGTTGACAATAAGACTCAATGTGACAAGATTTCATCTGGGTGAAGGCTCCAAGCATACAATGTGTACCTTTAGGAACCTGATTTTCAGAGGGTGTTTCATGTTTACAGGTCATGTCAGCAAAACTGAAAGGTGAAATTAGGGGGCGTGTTACACGTATTTGAATGCACTACGTCGGTGTTATTTTATATTTATTTCTTTAAAATACATCATACCAATGGACACTACCCATGTCTTTTATGTGCACATCACCAACTTTTTACACATTTCAAACCTCTTTAAGACAGCAGGCCTGATGGTGAGAGACTGTTCTCTCTGTACCATCAGACACAATTAACACTTCATGGATCAGGGGACTCACCCGACACCTCGGATCTGTAACTGGGGCTGGGTGCCAGCCTCCTTGGTTTTGACTGTCTGATAAGTGACGATGGTGGCAGTCGTGCTGCCTGAGCCCATATCATAGAACATCACATTCTGAAAGGGAATGAGATCAGACAGATTTTATCCTGTTAGATATCTGCATTAAATAATGTCATAATTAGCACATAAATTCTTGGCCAATGGTCAAGAATAAACCAAAGTCTAACCAGTTTGTCCTTTAGTCTTTGGGTCAAGTTAGAAGAAATTTGCTTAAGGTATTCCAGAGATGTTGCGTTCTAAATAATGGGACTGATGAACATAATACCTCCAGCCATGGCTGATAAAGGTGCAGAGGCATAAAAAGGCTCAGCTAATCCTAAACAGCTGGTCAATGCACTGATAAACGTGACTCAAACAGGGAGAACTAGTGCATTTGTTGGGGACTATTTTCACCAGCAGATTAACACACATTTGGTGCTGTAGTAAGTCTTTCTGGCAGCAGTATGGTGCATGTGGGTTTGAGTCAAAATAAACTCCAGTGTGTGGGTTCATGGTGATGAAGGAAAACGTCAAACAGTTCAACAGCGTGGCTTGTTGATGTGTTTTTAACAACAATGGAGCTTTATGGCACTGAGGAGGAAGAGACGCACAATAACTTGTAAGCTGATACGTTCATTGTCACGTGGGACACATAGCATTTGTTAAAAGATATAGATGTATCATCAGACTAATTCTTTAATGTGTATTTGGGAGTAATACTGAACGTGCACCTTCACTGTGTTGTCGATATCTTTCCTCCTGAAGACCCCATAGTTCAAGGCCACAGCTGTGTTGTCATTGATAAGCTGAAGAACCTTTAGACCTGCCATCTGTGCAGCCTGCAGGACTGCCCTGCGCTCTGCCTGGTTGAAAAAGGCTGGGACGGTGATCACTGCATCTTTGATTGGTTGTTCTGTGAGTTGTAGAGATTGGGAGAAGGAAGAAGAAGAAAAAAATTTAATATGCTCCACATATTCCAGTGTGTCATACAATGATGCATCTTCTTCCACGAGCAAACTGACCTGCAAAGTCCTGAGCCAATCCACGAGAATAATTGAGCACCATCCCGAGGAGCTCCTCAGGTGTGTACTGCATTTCTCTGACAGAAAAAAAAGGAGAGCCAAATTAGATGCCAGTATTGTGTTTCTTTCGATAATCTATTGCAAGCAGGTGGTACTCTGGTACAAATGTTTCCATGACAACTACTATAGTACTCCTAAGGATAGCTGCACTACCTCATCATCAGTCATATTGTTAGAAAAGATCTGTGATGATCAATAATGGGAAAAGTATTTTCAGAAGTGAAAATCATAGCAAGCATCTCCACTGTAGGGCAGCAAAGCCTGACACAGCATATTAGTGTACACACCATGTAAAGACTGAATGATAAACAGACCACCATTATGACTTGTGAGGTCAGGGGATTACCATGCAGACTGTTTTAAAGACTCAATACTGCAAACTAAAAGACAAATTTTATAAAGCATTTAATGTATGATAGGACATTAAATCAAATTAAAGAGACTCACTCTGAGTTTTTAAAGCAAACTGTGCCTCTGGCTGGGTCCTCCTGCAGATGGTGCTCGGGGAAACGTTTCTGGTAGAGCGCCACCTGGGGGTTATCATGCTTTTTGCCCAGGAGACTTTGGAGGTGTCGATAAACACTTTTGGGGTTCTTCACAGACTGAAACACATCCAATATTTGATCATTAATAACATACATGGGAAAAAAAAAAAATCAGTATTATTTTGAAGTTATTTGAATTTATGAACTATAATATATACAATTTAGGACATTTGAGAAGAAGACATACCACTCCTAGTGCATTGTCTCCCAAAAGTCTCTCATTTTCCTTGAGGCATACAGCCGTGGGTGTTTTCCTCCTCGACTCCCTGAAGAGAAGACAATAGAAATCATGTTCAGCTCTGAAATGTCATTTCATGCTGTATTAATTTCATTTGCTTTGTACTTTGGTTGTCCATCAATAAATCATACTCTAAAAGAAATAGAAAGCTTGGTGTGGGCAAGTCAGGTGTGTACGCTCACTGTACCACGGTCAGGACATGCAGTTCTACTCACTTGTTGAGAACAATCTCCATCGGCACACCAGGTTTCACTATCGCTACTTTCATCCACTCACTGCCCAGGTCAACTGACATGACAGCTACAGTCACTGCAAACACAAAGACATGTGTCACTTAAAGTTGGTAAGGCAGACAGGTAACACCAAAGACCATGAGATGCGTAATTGATCTAGCTTATCGTCTTCCAAACCCTGATAAAATATAGCTGTATATATTCATCAGTGGGAACAGGCTGTAGCTGAACGGTCAGTCTGTCTTTACCAGTTAAATATATTTTGGATGACAGCACTGCTCACAAATACAACCAGGGCTTCTTGTTAGAAAAACTGTTTGCATAAGTTGATGGATCATATTACCTGCATGTGAAGGCAACATCGCCAGAACAAGGCAGAAAAGAGCAGCCGGCACCAGCTTCCTGCCCCCCATGACGAGCTGTAGAGATGAACAAATCAAACATTTATTATTATCATCAACAGAGCAGATTTTCACATGTCATCACTTGTCCATTTTTTTAACAAGTGTGTAAAAACATGAGCTTTAAACCTCATCACACACCACCATCAATACAGAACACATTTAATCCACTGCCCATCCACCTGCACTGCAGCGATGCTTCCTGTCGTGTGTTGTTGCTTGTCTTTTTTATTCATTATGTGAGAGCAACAAGATGATCTCCTACTTGAAAAACCAAACCTGCTCCTTTTGCTTCCTTTACAAGGATACTCAGCAAGTAGAAACTGGGATAATGACATCATACTCAGTCTGTTGATACGAGTCACCACTTGCTGTGTGTTTCCTCAAGGTTCTCCAGTGCCAATATGGCTATGCTTAACTTCAAGCTCCCAGATAGTGCCATGGCTTTTAATCAAGGATATACAAAGCAGTTTATGCACCTGGTCCCTCCCACAAAGGTGTACAGTCCCAGACACGTGGCATTAATATGATTGTTCAATTCTGATATTGCCTAAAGCTGTGGCTGCTACAGGAAACCACTATGCCCTCAGAGAAAGGCATATGTTGAATTCTCACTGGTGCAAATGCAGCCCGAGATTGAAATTCAGATTGAGGACAACAAAAACCAGGACACAGTTTGTGTTAAAGAGAGAGAACATTGGGTAATTTGTAAAGGAACTTCTAGTCCCCGGTGAGACAGTGACGCATCAATGCAAAATGGATGCACAACTCAAACCCCTCATGACTATAAAATAGTAACGATTAAAACCAATAGTCTGAAGCATTTGGGACATCACTTGTAAGAAGTGGCTAGCTGTAGGAGAAGTTGCTGATATGTATTAGCTATATAGCCAAGTTAAATGCAACAATTCATGTTTAACGTTAATGTTACACTGTCAACAATTCAATTCAAACGCAACTGGACAGTGCAGACCACCTTTGGACCTTTCCAAATAAAAAGCTAGCACTACTGAGATGGAAGAAACAGCTTAAACATAAGTTGACAGCTAACGCTCCTGTTAGCTAGCGCACTGTCTGTCAACCATCAATATGAAAGCATGACTGACACACTGTGCTGTGGTGTGAACTTACCTCTCTTCAGCCGGCACAAAGCAAACTGTGAAGGGGCTACCGAGCGACTGTGCTTCACCGGGCGGGTTCTGTGACGAGTTTCTCTGGTCTTGCCTTGATTCAGAGCTTCTTTGTTGTCACACTTGGTAGTTTCTGGTTCCCCTTATCACCGGCTCGCTGTCGGCAGTCGGGCCCGGAACGCGGCGTCACCTCATTGGATCCACTGAAGCCGCTGCTGGGGGAGAAACTAGCGTCAAGCTAACAACTAGCAAACATACTCTTTCCGGTTAGCTTTCAAGCGCAAAACACACCGTAGACGAAGTTTATCTTACACCAAACTGAAAATTAGTAACAAAAGTAAATGGGAATATAAGTAACTATATAATGCATTCAAAAGTAGCTGTGAATTTCGCTTTAAAAATATGGTTATTATAATTGTATTATGGCCCAAAAGATAGGGACTGTTGTTTATTATGGGGGCAGGGGTGATGCAACCTCAGTGAGGCATGTCAAATATTTTTTTAAGCACTGAGGACGTTCTTACGTTTTTTTATTTTGGCATAGGGGAGAGACATACAACTTGAAATGAATGTATTTTGTGTTTATTGTGTGTAGCATTTGAACTAAAAAAAACACGTCACTCAGGGAGGCCCAAGGAAGGTATTTGTAGCTTCGAGGAGGGTCTAGATTAAAAAGAATGAAGTCATACCACAGCCACCCCTCCTCTGAAAAGTAAAGAACAGTCCCTGACGTAAAAACAAACTGTCTTGTTTGATTTCCTCCACAAGCACTAACACACAATTTATGTGCTCTTATTGTGAAAGGTACAACACCTTGCCTCCGGTAATTAACTCCGGCTGTCTTGACGCCTGGTGCAACAACCGGCAATGACAATACAGAGCCCGCCCACCTCGTTCCACGCACTGCCGCACGATTGGTCCACGTGAAGTGAGTGACGTCGAATTTTCTGGCTACAGTCACAGCCGTCAGAGGCTCTGGCAGCCAATTGGTCCACGTCCAGCTAGTGGGCGTAAATGGAATGACGACACTTCCAGGTAAAGTACATCCAGGGAGCAAACCGCATGTTTCTGTTAATAAATTAACTGAGTTTGTTCATTATTTATTTCCTAACTTTATTTTAAGGGTATCTACAGTAACTTTTGGAAATGCTGATTGCAGTTTGCTGCTACTCTGACAGTAATCTTAATTTTGTAGATCTGTCTTTTCAGCATAAAGCATTTGTCTATTTGTCTTAATATCTGTACTTAATCAAAGCTGTAATTACATGTTAGTGTTGTAAAATCCACTTTAGAGAAGTAAACCAAATCATCTGCAGTGATTTATCATATTTGAGTCTTCATGAAATTTTAAGGTATTGAAAAGACAATCAAATTGTCTTTGCAAAGACCATGAAAGACCTCTGTGAATGTGGCTAATAAAGAAACACAAGCAGCTTTCAAGAGCATCAAAGATCAAGGTCTGAACATATGTTTGTGTGCAGAGGCTCTGCAGCACCAGTGCAAATAACACTCAGTTAAACACATTTACTGTATGTCATGTTTAACAAAAAGCATCATGTACATCATGTATATTAAAGCGCCACAGTGGCAGATGACAAACTGCACAACCCACAAGCCCAGAAAAAAAAAACATCAGAAGAATGCACTTCATAATGACTTCATTCACATTTTAATCTTCAAGTTAGCGTGACAGACAACAAATAATTTCATTAATGACAGGTGGTTGAACTATTTGTGTTATGTGCAAGATTACTCATTAGTACAAGCAAACACATTGAAGCACAATTCTCCAATGTGTAATTCAGCAAAGGTTTTAAGACACAGTATTACACGTTTTAAACTAAAATACATTTATACAGTCCCTAGTGAATCATCACTAGGAACACAATTATGCAAATAGGTCCATCACTAAAAGCAGGCGTCTGCATTCACTGCTAAATAAAGTGGCATCCTGTGCAGCAGAGCATGTGGCTGACAGCCTGCGCTGATGTGAAGGCTGGGGGGGTTTAGCAGTTTCTCTTGGTGTGAATGAGAAGGTCTCTCTGCAGGTTGACTTCCAGACTCCCAACAGTTTTGCTGCCCGGTGGGTCAGTGACCAGAGTCAGTTTGTTAAACACTCCTCGACCAAAATAGTCAGCCACGACAGAGAACCCATCATTTGAGCTGCGTAACTGAAATCCAAAGAAAGACACAAGAACTTGCTTTTACTCAAACATCCCCGGGGTGTTTAGGCAAGTGCACTGCACTGTAGTCAACTGCTTAAATAAAATCAAAATCTAACCTCATGAATAAGGCAGATCTTTAGATTTAAACAGATTATGTAAAATTATACTGAATGAAAAATAAATAACTGAACACACAACTTCTTTCTAGTCAAAGCGTACATATTGTTACCTGTCTGTTGAAGTGATCATGCAGGTCGCGTTTCTGGTCCTGAGCACGCAGCATGTCCATGACTTTGCGGTTCTCAGGAGTGCAAGTTGGACACTCAGCCTCGCTCTCAGCATAGCTTTCGAAGCAGTGTTGGTGGAAGGAGTGGCTGCACAGGAAATGAACCGATGGCAGCTCCAGGGGGCTGTTGCACATGTTACACTTGGTCTTCTGGAATATCTTAGCACTGTGTAGAAATACAGTGGTAAAGATTTACACTCATTGGCTAATCTAGGATTTCACAAGTTTGCCACCACTCTCACCCCCTGAGCTACAGTGCTACGGAACTGTGTTTATCGATGAAAACAGGACTTGGGAATGATAAATATGTACCCTGATTGTCCAGGGGAAAATCCCATCCTTCATGTGACCCACCTCGTTTTGAGTTCCTGGATCTCGGAGCGGAGGTGAGCCGTTTCTTCACGATACAGGCGGATTTTGCATTCATCGTCTTCTATCTGCTGGCTCTCCCTCTGCAGCTTGTTGATGAGGTAGTCCTTGATGACAGAGAGAGTGGCCGTCGAGTTGTGTGCCAGGGTTTGCACCACTATGGAAGCATAACAATCAGGGATGTAATGCTGTGATTCATTTCAAATAACATTGTACTGATGCCAAGAGATCTCAAGATTTTCAGATTTTGAAGTATGATTTAAACCTCCACCAGCTTACCAAGTAATGGAGGCATCAGGTTGTTTTGGTCAATGTGTTGGAGGACCTCACTGATGTAGGCCTTGCAGTCCTCTTCCTTTCTGGCAAAGTATCCCAACGCCTGCTCCCAAAGGCAACCCTCCTGGTCCCCATAGCGCTTGCAGGCCTCCACCACTTTCCCATACTCTTCGTTCTGCATGTGGTAGTGCATAATCTGCTGGTACCTGCACACAAATGCAAACCATCCCCATTTTATCCACAGTTATGACATACATACATTACAGGCCTAAAAAGTTTGCTTTATTTTCATGACTATTTACATTGTAGATTCTCACTGAAGGCATCAAAACTATGAATGAACACATGTGGAGTTATGTACTTAACAAAAAAAGGTGAAATAACTGAAAACATGTTTTATATTCTAGTTTCTTCAAAATAGCCACCCTTTGCTCTGATTACTGCTTTGCACACTCTTGGCATTCTCTCCATGAGCTTCAAGAGGTAGTCACCTGAAATGGTTTTCCAACAGTCTTGAAGGAGTTCCCAGAGGTGTTTAGCACTTGTTGGCCCCTTTGCCTTCACTCTGCGGTCCAGCTCACCCCAAACCATCTTGATTGGGTTCAGGTCCGGTGACTGTGGAGGCCAGGTCATCTGCCGCAGCACTCCATCACTCTCCTTCTTGGTCAAATAGCCCTTACACAGCCTGGAGGTGTGTTTGGGGTCATTGTCCTGTTGAAAAATAAATGATCGTCCAACTAAACGCAAACCGGATGGGATGGCATGTCGCTGCAGGATGCTGTGGTAGCCATGCTGGTTCAGTGTGCCTTCAATTTTGAATAAATCCCCAACAGTGTCACCAGCAAAACACCCCCACACCATCACACCTCCTCCTCCATGCTTCACAGTGGGAACCAGGCATGTGGAATCCATCCGTTCACCTTTTCTGCGTCTCACAAAGACACGGCGGTTGGAACCAAAGATCTCAAATTTGGACTCATCAGACCAAAGCACAGATTTCCACTGGTCTAATGTCCATTCCTTGTGTTTCTTGGCCCAAACAAAACTCTTCTGCTTGTTGCCTCTCCTTAGCAGTGGTTTCCTAGCAGCTATTTGACCATGAAGGCCTGATTCGCGCAGTCTCCTCTTAACAGTTGTTCTAGAGATGGGTCTGCTGCTAGAACTCTGTGTGGCATTCATCTGGTCTCTGATCTGAGCTGCTGTTAACTTGCCATTTCTGAGGCTGGTGACTCGGATGAACTTATCCTCAGAAGCAGAGGTGACTCTTGGTCTTCCTTTCCTGGGTCGGTCCTCATGTGTGCCAGTTTCGTTGTAGCGCTTGATGGTTTTTGCGACTCCACTTGGGGACACATTTAAAGTTTTTGCAATTTTCCGGACTGACTGACCTTCATTTCTTAAAGTAATGATGGCCACTGGTTTTTCTTTAGTTAGCTGATTGGTTCTTGCCGTAATATGAATTTTAACAGTTGTCCAATAGGGCTGTCGGCTGTGTATTAACCTGACTTCTGCACAACACAACTGATGGTCCCAACCCCATTGATAAAGCAAGAAATTCCACTAATTAACCCTGATAAGGCACACCTGTGAAGTGGAAACCATTTCAGGTGACTACCTCTTGAAGCTCATGGAGAGAATGCCAAGAGTGTGCAAAGCAGTAATCAGAGCAAAGGGTGGCTATTTTGAAGAAACTAGAATATAAAACATGTTTTCAGTTATTTCACCTTTTTTGTTAAGTACATAACTCCACGTGTTCATTCATAGTTTTGATGCCTTCAGTGAGAATCTACAATGTAAATAGTCATGAAAATAAAGAAAACGCATTGAATGAGAAGGTGTGTCCAAACTTTTGGCCTGTACTGTATGTTGGATCACATTATATATGCATTAACATGAGTAATATGTGTAATGAGATGTTATGATTTGCTTCTCTATCATTAACTGGCTTAATACATATTCAGACGCTGTTCTGTCTCTGTCACTTACAGTTTGCCCTTCTCATAAAGGTAGAGGACGCCTTCTTTGAAGTTGTGCATCTGGCAGAGAACCAAGGCCTTATCAAACACAGTGTTATCGCTCCTCAACAG